TCTTACTCCCTCCACTGTTGATGGCCTATAGAACAGCAGAGCATGAAGCCACTGGATGCACTCCAGCAAAGTTGATGTTTAATTTGGAACTTTGATTGCCAGTGGACTTGATAACAGGACGCCCACCTTACAAAGAGTTGCCTGAAAATGTGCCAGCGTTCGTGAAAGTGTTATCTGAAGGGATGGATGACATTTACCATCAAGTGCATTCGAACTTAAAAACGTCTGCTGAGTCCATGAAGCTATGTTATGATAAGAAATCTACTGAAGTCAGCTTTGTACCAGGAGACAAGGTGTGGTTGTATAATCCAAGGAAGACAAAAGGGAAGTCTCTTAAGTTGTCTTCTCCATGGGAAGGCCCATATGACATAGTGGATCATCTCTCAGATGTGACTTTCTGAATAAAATGTGGTCGGTGAGGTAAGCTAAAGGTGGTGCATGCCAACAGGCTTTGGCGTTACCACGGTTCAGGACATTTCAGTTGGAACAAAGTGAACAACAGAACAGATGATGCTGCTGAAGACGTGTCACCTGAAAAAGCCGCTGTTGGAGAAGAAACTCTACCTTTGAGAGGGAAACAGTGAAGCCGTTAATGATGTTACTACCACTGATGTGACTGCTACCGATAATGGGACATTTCCTGATGGAGCAGATGAACCCTACATGAAGCAGAAGCCAATGAGACGGAGACCAGTACGGAAGAAGATAAGTCCTTTAAAATTAAGAGACTTTGTTTTAATTTAATTTTGTGTTTGTAAGTTATTGTTAATTATCTATTGGTTAAATGTAAGTGGCTATTGTTCGGGAGAAACAATACTAAGGAAGGGCAGTTTTACGACAACGGAAGTCACGCTACGCTGGGAGCATGCGCGCTGGAGTTTCTCTAAGGATCATGAATTATTGAGGAACCCACGAATGTTCGAGTGTTTGCTAGACACTGTGTATTTTAGTATATAAGTCTGGCAACGAAAGCCAGCGATATAGCCAGATAGATATGCAGATAGACGGAAGATTTAAATAACTGAGTCAAGCAAACAGTAGGCACCGTAAGTAAAATTTGTGAATCACTGTGATTTATAGCGTGTGTTATAAAAGTAGTTAAGTTTAACGTACTGGTTGGAAATTCTGTGTATTACAAAGTTGTATTGAGAAAAAATAAATAAACTGGTATAATTAAGAAAGGACTTGTATCGCTGAAGTTCCTCAATAACAATTTATACCGGAAATTAACAAACAAGCAGATATCCAACATAACCAATATTGTTAATGAAAGTAACAATAAATAAACAATATAGTATACCTTACATTTTGTCTGATGTTAAGTTGTGTTCACCAATTGTCAATTAAAGGCTTTTACTTATACTTCTTAATAGTATAAATATATACTGTGTTGTCATTGTTGTTGGGCTTAGAATTCTTCTACAGTAGCTGTCTGTGACTTGTTGGCAATAAATTCAATGATAGATGAACAGCATGCACTGTGCTTGTTTTCAAAATACTGTATATATATATATTTGGAAAAAGTTAAACATATGTACAACAAATTCTTTACATTATAGAAATTTTAGGCATATCATAAACACTATATATAGTTCTTCTCGTAAAAAGTCCACTTAGGCCTATTCAATCACTTTAAAACTTCAGTTGACAAGCTGAACTACCTTTCTCTATTTCTATCGCACTAGTATTCTGTGTATAATTCACTTACAATTGTGGCACGAGTTACTGCAGTCATATACTGCTCTTCCAGTAATTATTTGGTCTTCTTTCTTCAAAATATCCTCTGTTTCTTTTGTCAAAGTGCACTCAGGCTGATTCTTTTACCTTAGAACCACGCTTTGACAGAATAAATTCTTTTATCTCCTATTCCACTGTTAGTCTTACTCTAACATATTAAACATTAGGCCCATGTGAATCATTAGAGTTTTCACTTCTACGGCAGTTAACTTCATGCTGAACTTTTCCTTGACTGTGACCTTACTCTCTTCTCCTATTTTCTGTCTACTGTTTATGCTCGTCTCACACTATTTATATATGTTTATTCTTAATTGTCAGTCTACCTTCTAGAAATCTCTGTATTCTCGACATCAGTGCATTGCACGCAACATTCAATAGTCTCAACATCAATAAATTATAAACACAACTTCCAACAATTGTCTGCTTTTAACTCTCTTATCATAAAAAACACACTAAACAATCATAAAATATTAACTCCCAAAATAAATTGATTAATACTATTTACACTAAATAGTCTTTTATATCATGACACAGTATATGTTTCTGGCAAGAAAAGTTATTAAAAACTTATGATATTTGACAAGACCATGGTTGGGTATGTGTTAAAATTGATAACCATAAAATTGTTATATATTTGCCTTATTTTGGTTATTTTAGCATTAGTTATTTGTTTCATGCTTCTGTCATTCAAACACATTTATAGATGTTTATTTAAACTTTTTTGGAAATAATTAGGTTTCATGTACTAGAACTAAAGACTGTATTTTCTCTGATGATTAACTCTATTTCCTGCTTTCTAAGCACACACTTAAAAAGAGTCCAAAGGCACAAAAGTCTATTGGAATTGCATGGGGTGGGAGAAGTTTGTGGTCATGTTTAATTTTAGTGTACTTTGCCATTGTTCACATGAAAATGGCTGTAATTTACGAGGTATGATTGAAAACTTGTATGTCTTCATGAACTTCAAACCCTTGTTTATTATGTTATTAACAGGTAACAGGAAATATGGATTTGGGTGTGATTTTAGAGCCCATAGCTGCCCCAAATGTTCTTCTGTGCAAATTGTTATGTTCCTGTGGAGAACATTAAAGACTCCTTTTTACAATATGTTGTATTTTTTTGGTTCTGTATTATTTAACAATCTCATTATATAGATATTTCTCTTTGGAAACAGTAGTAACATACCCTCTAATCCACTGATCAAGTTTTTAAGGCATTTTACAAACCCATTAAAGTATTGGCCTTGCTGGAATAACATGTAATCATACTTCTAGGTATTCTGACTTAGGAAAAGTAGCTGATTGAAATAAATTTTCAAAAAAGGGTAAATGACTCTCTTTATGTATAAATTATGTCTTGTTATCATTTAAAAATTTAATACACTTGTCTTTTTATTAAAATGTGTATTTTGGTTGTCTGTTGCCATTACAAGTAAAAATAATATTAGGTCGTCAAGAAATTAAAGTCGTGTTTTGGAACACTTTCATTAACCCCCCCCCCCCAAAAAAAAAAAAAACTTACATCACTTATAGTAGTTAAATGAACTGCCTAAACGTCACGCTAGTGTAGCCTATATAATGTGTAAAGTTTAGTATACTCTATTCCCTTATAGTGATGACACATGACGAGACACACACATTCGGCATGTAATGCTGTTTGAATACAAGAAGGGAAACAACGCCTGTGTAGACACATAGAGTATCAAAGAAGTTAATGGAAATATTTTTAATATTCGTAAGTGTCGATGATGGTTCAGCAAATTTTGTTCATGTGATGGCAGGGACCAATACGTTGGAATTGATATTGATGCTCTGAAGACGCTTGTTGAGTCTAACCCAAGGCAACACACTCGTCAAATGGCTCTCAAATTACCTGTGTCTCATGAAACAATACATAAACATCTAAGTAATATGGGAAAACTCCATAAAGAAGGTGTTTGGGTGCCTCTCAAACTCTCCAATCATCATCGTTTTCAACATATGAACATGATGTTCGTGAAACATTTTTGGACAGAATTATCACCAGTGATGAAAAATAGATTCTCTATGCGAATATTATATGCCAAAAACAATGGCTGAGTCCTAGACAAAAAGCACTTCCAACCCCAAAACCTGGACTCCATCCACAGAAAGTGATGCTTTGCATTTGGTGGAACATCAAAGGAGTAATTCTTTTCGAACTTCTTAATCCACAGAAAACTGTCAATACAGAGATCTATAGTCAACAACTGAAACATTTAAATTTAAATTCATCAGAAATGCCCTTCACTCATCAATTGGAAAGGTGTTCTTGTTCTCCACGACAATCCACGTCCACATGTGGCATCCTTGATGCAACACAAGATTGTAGAGTTAGGTTGGGAAGTTCTCCCCACCCACCATATTCTCCAGATATAGTACCATCAGATTACCATCTTTTTTGTTTGCTGCAACACCATCTTAATGGGAAAATGTATGCAAATGTGGAAGGTGTTAAAGAGGACATCGACATGTTTTTTGCTTTAAAGCTAAGTGATTTCTTTAATCAGAGCATTAGTAATCTGATTGTAAGATGGTAAAGCATCATCGATAAGAATGGAGACTATTTCATTTAATAAATATTTTGTTTTGATATATAAGTTGTTCAGGTTTTTCATCAAAAAAAAGCAACATTAATTTCTTGACAACCTAATATTTCCATAGTTTAAATGTTTGTTTTATAAGAATTATATCAAGTTGAGACTTGATAATTTGTACATAGATTTTATTAGTTTTTCTTGAATTAGGCCTACAATATAATTTAGTAAATGGATGTGAAACAAATGTTTTTGTTTAGTTTATATGTACCTGTATTAACTTTTGGTGAATAAATTTAAATCTTTTTAGGGTTGGAACAACATCTTTTATGCAATCTTGCTTTTTCTACATCATATTAAGACGAAAGAGGCTAGTATGCTTGGGTAAGTTTGCTTAAACACTCTTCTGAGTTTTTCGGACAAAATATTTTTTTGAACTAAAACTTATTTCTAATTAAAGCTTGCATTAAAACCAGTTGAAATTTAAATCAACTATGAAAGTTTATGTATAATATTGTTTTATAATTGTGGTGTAGTTATTTGGACTATTATTCTCATCTTTATTATGTGTATCATTATTTTCACAATGTTTCGACCAGTGAATTATTATTAAAACATCTCAGAAGTGTTCTCCTGATTGCCAACTGGTTAAGAGTGCCTGTATTTTGGATCAAAGGTTCAAATCCTGGTTATTTCACAAAAAGCTTTTTGGTTGTGACACACACAAAATGTCTGATATGACACCTGACAATGGCTAGAGAATTTACTGGTTGAAAGGTTTTGAAAATAATGATACACGGAATAAATGTTGTTCTTGCATGATCATGATCTTTCCTGGATTATCAACTGATAATAAATGCTATTACTCATTAATGCTCACTAGTTAAACAGTAAAATCCCCTGGCTTTTTTTTCCAGCTAACCATCACTAATTTCAAGAGTTGAATGATATAGTAAAAAGTCACGATCATGAAAAATGGAGCTCCTTTTTGTCTTTGTTCCTTAAGTTTTAATGTGTGTGTATATATATAAAACTGAAAACACAATATTTGATTTTGGATGACATAATCAATCTCCTCCTGCCCTATATAACTGTTTTATTTATTATTTGATGTTAAATATCTAATAAACAGTTTGCTCTTATATTTCATGGTATTATAAGACATTGGGTGTTGTACTGTTTAGTCCATAATTTGGGTTTGAATAATTGGAAATGTTTTCAATTTTAATTTTATACCATATTTCTTATACCTGTCTGTGGAGTTAGTATACAATGATATGTTGTAATTTTTACCGTTGATTTTTAGTGTATTGTATTCATTTGGAATGTATATTATTGTTGTAATATCCTACATTATTACTTTACCATTTAAAAATACTGTAATATGTCCTACATTATTATTGTACCATTTAAAATGTTGCAATACTGTTCTACATTATTATTTTTCCCTTTGAAAATATTGTAGTGTTCCCTACTTTATTATTGTACTCTTTATAAATGTTATTGGGAAGTTATTGCTAAAAACTAGAATATTAATTTTTATTTTCCAGAAGAGTTAATCTTGGACTCTCAGGAATTAATATTTTGTGGGTCTTGGAAAACTAAAGGATCTATAAAGACAAGAAATTAGATATCAAAGGTATCATGCAAGGCTGACAAAATGAATGTTGATTTTAACAGCGAGGGATTTTTTTTTCCTGATGAGAGAGACTCGTTTCATGTGCAACTTGTTTCATATGAATTTTGTTGATTCTTTTTTTTTTTGTAATGTTTTTTAAAAAAAATGTAAATAAAAACATTTTAGCCAACTTATTTGAATATCTTTCATTGCCAGTGGCATTCACATACTGTATTATATTGAGCAATTTTATCTGTCACAACATTCGGCATAAAGATTTGTCCAAATAAATTGGGTGAAGTCACTTATTTTCTATCTAAGATACATAGAAGATCCCAGCATTAGTCATGGGAAATATTTGTAATATTAAAAATACTTTCCTTCACATTATTGTGTGACTGACATATTATTATCAGTATTGATCCTGTAACCAAAACAACAACGTCATGGATACCAAACAACTTGGTACATAAATATTTCAGAAACGTGTTTTAAAATCTAATGAGAGTCCATAATATTAATTATTGGGTTAAGCTAAACGTGCTTGATTTTGTTTCCCCATGATGAAAATTTGGTATATCTCTGCAAAAAAAATTTAATTATCTGCACACTGTGAAAGATAATAAGATCATTATTTCTCATTTCATACTCGTAGTTAGTACAGGTTCTTTATTTCCAGTATTTGTAATGGCTGGCTGGGAAATAGCCTGTGAGAAGGGGGCTGAGACAGACAGCTGTGTGTATATAGGGATATTTGTTAGTTGTTTATGTCTATCACCATTAACCCCTATAGCTCCTGGCTGGCTTGCTAATGTTCGGTTTTATGGATGTATAGTATGGGCTGGATGCTTTACAGTAGATGTCTATGACTTTGTTACACCTCCAATCGTTAGTTAATTTTCCGCAAATTCTTTCCAACTAAACTTTAGCGACACAATTCCTTTCTTAAATAAAACTGGTTTATTCTTTCCGAATACAACTTTACGATACACTTAATTCGGCATAACAGTGCTCTATAACAAACGCTATAACTCACGTCTCACGTGGCTAACAATATTCCCCGCATACATTCAATTACTCATTACCTCCCCGTCGCTTCGTGGCCGGTCTTATATATACAAGACTGCACTATATCTAGAAGGATCACGAGATTTAAGGAAAACACGTGGCATGATACTAGTCACGTGACCTCGATGTCGTAACACTGCCCCTTCCTTAGTATTGTTTCTCCCGAACAATAGCCACTTACATTAAACCAATAACAATTAACAATAACTTAATTAAATGTACAGAATTACAAACACAAAATTACAATTCAACAAAGTCTCTTAATTTTATGGGACGTATCTTCTTCCGTACTGGTCTCCATCTCGTTGGCTTCTGCTTCACATGGGGTTCATCTGCTTCATCAGGAAATGTCTTATCGTCGGTAACAATCACATCAGTGGTAGTAACTTCATCAAGAGCTTCACCGTTTCCCTTCTCAAAACTGAGTAGAGTTTCTTCTTCAACAGTGGTTTTTTCAGGTGACACGTCTTCAGCAGCGTCATTTGTTCTGTTGTTCACTTCGTCCAAACTGAAATGTCCTGGTCCGTGATAATGCCAAAGCCTGTTGGCATGCACCACTTTAGGCTTACCTCACCGACCACATTTTATCCGGAAAGTCACGTCTGAGAGACGATCCACTATGTCATATGGGCCTTCCTGTGGAGAAGACAACTTAGGAGACTTCCCTTTGGTCTTCCTGGGATTATACAACCATACCTTGTCTCCTGGTACAAAGCTCACTTCAGTAGATCTCTTATCATAAGTTAACTTCATCGAATCAGCAGACATTTTCAAGTTTGAATGCACTTGATGGTGAATATCATCCATCCTTTCCAATAACACTTTTACAAACTCTGACACATTCTCAGGCAACTCTTCATAAGGTGGGCGTCCTGTTAACAGATCCACTGGCAACCGAAGTTCCCGACCAAACACTGCTGGAGTGTATCCAGTGGTTTCATGCTCTGCTGTCCTATAGGAGTAAGACATCCCAGTCATCTTGGCGGCTATTACAAAACTTTGCCAATTCCTGTCCTAGT